AAAATTTCATTGTACTCCCTTCTCGTTTACACTTTTAAATCAAAGACATTCCCTACATCGTAAAGTTTAACAGTGCCGATGAAAAGACACTCCCTACACCCTTTTTTGAAGCAGATCGAACGTGAGGTTGGTTGGTTCTTCAAGTTTTTCTCTATATTGATCGTTCACTACAAAAGTTGATACATATTTTTTGTCTTACAGATTTGTAAATATTATTTATGCAAATTTCTTTAAATTTTTCGTTCAATTATGCAGATATTTTTAATTTTTTCATGCAATTGTGAAAAAGGGTCCTACAGATATTTTGCTTGGTGTCATCCGATATCTATTGAACCACTGATCGTCCAACCTGAAGGGTATGGAATGGGACATCGCAACACAGAGACAAATGTTGAATTAAACAAGTTGACTGCAAGAGTGAAGTCCATAGAGAACACCCTACAATGCATGAAAAAAGTGATGACAATTGTAATTGTGATTTTAGTGTTACAGTTTTTTGTTGGAATGAAGTAGTTGCAGACTTATATTTTTGGTTGTGCAAATCTGATACTTTTGTTTTCTATGTAATATGATTGGTTGTTCAAATTTGATGCTTTTGTTTAATGTAATATGACTGGTTGTTCAAATGTGATGTTTTTGTTCTATGTAATATGATTGCACATGATTTTGTTAAGTGTTGCAGTTATGATAGTTACATTCATGAATATTCAAATTTGCCTCCATTTCCATACATTCATAATAGTTACAATATTTAGCATTCATGTGCAGTCACAAATAATTCTGTTGTGACATTTGCAAGTATTCTGCACAAAAATCTACAAGTAATCTGTTAAACCATTTGTTTTACACAAAAGTTCTACTCTATTCCTGTGTTAAACCAACTATATTCAAGTATTCACACTAGAAACAAAAACAATCAAAAAGTCAGCATCCATGTAATGATCAAGTCCCAGCAGTTTGTGTCTCCCCCATGCCCCCTGCCCTTGCACTTGTCTTTCCTTCATCTGCCTCGTCTTTTTTTTGTGTCCACTGCCCGTTCAATGTTATGGTTTTCTTGTTGCAAAAGTAGGCGGTGTTCTTGTCCCTTTAAAGTTTTGGTTTTGTGGTGGTAAGAAAGGTTGTGCTGGTGTTCCTCTTCCCTTTCCGTTACTTTTCCTTCCTCTTCCTCTGCCTACACCAATCCCTCCAGTTGTAGATACTTAATAAGTATGAAAAAGTGAATTAGCAACTTGTGTATGTTGTAAACTAAGTAATTAAAAAATGAATGAATTAATACCTGTTCATTTGTTAGTCCAATTCTAGATTCTGCTTGAGAAGTTGTATGTTTTGCCATCACAGGAGTTGTCTGTTCTGCCCTCATAGAAGCTCTTTGACATGTCCTCTTATTATGACCAAACTCTTTACAAATTTTACATTTCACACTTAAAGACTTCCTAGCAAATGCTAGTTTGTGATGATGGCTCATCTGCCTCCCTCCTTCTGTTTTTTTGGGTCTACCTGAGAGTTTTCTCAGAGGAGGAGAAGATAGCATATCACCAACTGCATGTGACCATTTTCTCTAGTCTCGAAGGGGGTGTATCATTAGCTCATGAGCTTTTAAGAATGTCTCTTTTTTGAAGAAATCATCACAGTATTCCTCAATATTCAACCTCTTGTGTGCAATTGCCTGTGCTGCATGCTTACATGGTGTGCCTGATATACCCCAAGCCATACAGTCACATTTTTTTCCATCAAGTACCACTATGTATCTTATCCTGTTATCCATTATCTCATACTACATTCCACCTGCATGCACTACAGAACATGATTTTGACTCAACAATGATTTTGTTAAGTTTTTTCTTGACATTCTCTGTCACTAACCCTTCAAATGTTGCCCCTCTCATGCCTCTGTTGAATCCTAGTCATAAATTTAGTCCTGATGTCATCCAATAAATTAATAATAGACTTTGACCTCAAAGATCCTACCCAACTATTGAAAGATTCACTTAAATTGTTAGTCACATGATCACTCTTAATTCTGGTATCAAATGCATGCCTAGACTAGCAACTAGATGGCAGCCTACTCATCCACTGGTATACATCTAGGGAGTTGGACTTCACATCTAGCATAGCTCCATTGAAGTCCTTTTCATTATATGCTCTAGTTGCTTTCCAAAATAACCTTCTAAGCAAAACACCAGAAATTTTTGCTTAAAGTTGTAAAATAAATGCCTACAACACCTTCTATGACTAGCATGTGGGAATTTATTCTTCAACACATGTTCAAATCCCTGCCAGTCAATGCATAGGTAGTAATAGCAGTAAAAAAAAAATGTAGTAATAGCAGTAAAAAAAATGTAGTAATAACAGTAAAAAAAAGTAGTGTTTCAAGCTCTCTCCCATATCTGTTCATGTCAAATGTCCTTGCAGTAGTTTTGTGTCTTGCTTTGTCCACATTATCATCTGACTCAGAGCTGGAATTAATATAATCATCATCCCCAGATACATAGTCTGACAACCCATCATCATTGTTTAAATTTGTATCTACCCTAAACTCTTCATCTATGGTATCATGCTCTTCTCCATAGTCTTCATCTTCAGACCTAATTTCATATACATTATCAGATTCAAAATCAACATCATCACTATTTCCAGCTTCATCATTCCTTTGATTCTCCATAATGGCCAGACTCTCCACAACCCTGATTCTCCAAATTGCTCTTATTCTCCAAATTACTCACATTCTCTACACTGTTTCTATTAATAACAACATTTCCAATTTCTTGTGGAATAACGTGTATGTTTATGTGTTTTCTATTCTTGTGCCTACTAAACATCTCGGTTACATCTTTGTCATCATCTAATAACATTCTGTTATTTGAACCAGGCAATTCACAAAATAATTTGAACAGCAAGGTCAATGTTGATGAACACAACATAAATACATCTGATAATAGGTGCACATGGCAATATTGATCTGGGTCAACGTTTTGTGCCATGTATTGTTGTCCATCAAAGTGTATGAACAAGTCAATCAACTTAGCAGCCATTTCTACAACAATTTCAAATAAAATAGCACATTCAAGAAATGAAGAAAATCATCTATGTAGCATGTTTGAAACAAAAAGGATTTTTAGAAACGTAAAAAATTGAAGCCCTAATTTCAACACTGTCATAAGCCCAAATATCTATGGGTAATGCATTAGAAAACCCTGAACTATGAGGATAAACGACAAACAAAACACCAAAATCCATAAAATAAATATAAACCCTAGATACAAAAAATGTAAAAAAAAAATTCACATTTATTCAAACCCTTATAAACCCCCAAATCCGTGAAATATAAACCTTAGATACAAAAAAAAGTAAAAAAAAAAAATGAACTATGTTCAAACCCTTACTCAACTATGTTCTATGTCACTAACCTGAACTATGTTCAGACGATAAAAGATGAACAAAACCCCCCAAATCCTTAAAATATAAAAACCCTAGATACAATAATACGTAAAAAAAACACAAATTTATTATGTACATACCACAGAATCTTCAATGCTCACTCTTCAAATCATTCGATGTTTGGAACCGCAAAGATCTTCCAAGCTTTCAACAATTTTCTTCCCCCTTCTCTCTCTTTCTCTTTGTGTTCATGCCTCAGACAATAACCCATGGAATGCACAGAGACACCTGGGTTGGGTTAGATTTAATAAATAGGTGGGGTTAACTAAATATAACCATAGTTAGTAGTATAGGTTAAATATGTATACATACAGAGTGCATATAAAATACTCTGAGTTATTTTTGTAAATTAACGCGAGCCATTAACGCCGTTACCAGATAATGCCTAAGAGGGGGTGGCAGTGAAATTTTAGAATGGGTAGGGGGTATCATTAATTTTATGCCTAACTAGAGGGGGAGTGGATGAACTTTTTCCTTATGTTTTTTATGTTCCAAAGTTTTCAGTATTGATTGAATAAAAAAACGTAAGGAAACATAATACACAAATCTACGTCATGTGCCTAGTGACATACATTTAAGGAAAGTGACAAATTTCAAATGTATTTAGGAGATTTTCAAAAAATAATGTTGAATCCAGGTGCACCTATGATACAATTTATTTTTTTCGGTAAGTACCTATGATAAAATTTCACTCCAACTGTAGGCAAATATTAAAAAGTGCATTTAAATATCAAATTATGTTGTATGACATAAATTTCAGTCGTGGAATATTTATTGTGTGAGTGCAGATAAAAAGGAGTAATGCTAAAATTTATTAAAATAAATTTATTAACTCGATATAAATAATTGGATCACTGGGGTCTATTCAATTTTTTACTAAAATCCCACTAATTTAACTATTTACATTCCGGTTAGAAAAAAATTAGGGTTAGTTGCAGTAGAAATTCCAAAAAAAATTATTTTATTTTGGTCTCAATATTTCAGTTGCATCATTTTAATTCCTAAAATATTGAATATGTTTTTATGTAGTCTCTCAAACAGACGACATCCAAATTGCTAATAATTTTTTATTATAAATTTGTCATATAATAATTAAATATGAAAAAAAATAATTTAAATAACTCTTTGATCAAACTTCTACCCAAATTTTAGTCAAAGAGCTACTAAAATTATATAGTTTTGATCATGAGATATCCAAATTTTGGTCAAGAGCTATCCATATTATAATTTTTTTGATCAAGTATTATCCAAATTTTGGTCAAAAATTACCCAAATTTTTTTTTGACTATATTTAAGCATAACGTGACAAGTTTACGATAAAAAATTATTAACAATTTTGATATTATGTGTTTGAAGAATTACATAAAAATATATTCAATACTTTAAAAATTAAAATAATATAATTAAAATATTAAAGACAAAAATAAGATAAATTTCTTACTTTGAGAATTTTTAGTACAATTAATCCAAAAAATTATTTACATTACTAACCTTTTTTGTAATCATGTGGTCGTTTCCGAATAAAAAGTTTGGGCAATAATGAACAAAAAATTACTTTCAATTCTGGGAGCACCAAATCAGTTGGCAAACTTGAAGAGAGGATAAGGTAGGAAAAGACAACAGACATGGAGGAGAAGCTATCGTCAGTGGCGAAAACCGTAACATCTTCTCCTATCCAACAACTATCGTTTCTTGCTGAAAGCTGTAACGCTATCAACCTCGCTCAAGGCTTCCCCGATTTCCCTGCACCAACTCACATCAAAGAAGCCGCTGTTTCCGCCATCAATTCCGACTTCAATCAGTACAGGTTGCTTCCCTTATCACTTCGATTTTATTTATTGATGTTTATACTTTAATTCGCATTTCATTTCTTATCATACTGACTGTAATTGTATACTACGCATGATCGATAATGCATTGGACATTTTACTTTTAATTGTTTTTTTCCGGCATGTTACTCTATTATATATGGTAGGCAATTCATGAAAGTACTGTTGCTTGCATCTCTGTCAAATTTATAAGAGGAGAAAATAAACTAAAGTTTTTGGTGTTGTGCTCTAGACAAGGAAAAATTCAAGCAGTGGTAATTCTAAAGATTCCCGCAGAAAAATAGAGATGTCTCCTACTTTACCCATAATATGTGGAAGGATTGATGTAATTTCATATAGTCATTCGGTAGAAATGCTACATGAAGAACATACGCCAAATGACGAAATGTGAAGGCCTAGGATGTAGAAGATCATAACATGAGTAATTTGGCAGATTTAGATTCCTATATATCCACCTAATATTGGACAGTTGCAAACAAAATATTTCTGTGACATTTTATTGAGTTGGTCTTTTTCTTATTTTCCTACTTTGCCCTTCCTTTTCTTTTAGCCGTCAACACAAACTTTAATTTCTCAGCACCAATCAAACAATCTTCCAGAAAGAAAAATTGATTCAAGAAATTATAGGAAAGCGAACTACAATGATGTTTCCTGCCTGAAATTGGTGACTGTTTTGTTAATGACCAGTTTTACTGCATTTGGACTAGGAAACCATGTTGGCAAAGACAATTATTAGACGTTGTGATACAAGTAAATATCTCAAATGGATGCAGTAAGAAAGAGTCATGCCATTACAAGTTTTGATGATTGCCATTGATACTCCTCTATTCCTTATTTTATTTGGTTTCAACTATTAATTGGAGGCTGTGTGTTTTCATCCAAGGCATGTGCAAGGAATTTGTGAGCATGTGGCAGGTATCATGAAGCACTTGCATGGCTTAGATGTTGACCCTCTTACCGATGTAGTTATTTGCTGTGGCCAGTCTGAGGCATTTGCTGCAACAATGATTGCGAGTATGCATACCTCTTTTTTGTAGTTTCCCAGCTCAAGGTACTTAAATGTTCAATGGAAGGTCTGTTTCATGCTTTTTTTTTCCTCTTTTCACAGTTGTTAATCAGGGCGATGAAGTTATACTATTTGATCCTTCATATGAATCATATGAAACCTGTATTACTATGGCTGGAGGAATCCCAGTAAGCTTCTTGTAACTATTCTACAGGTTCCATTGAGTTTGTTTATACTTTGGGTTTGTTCTGAATTGACTCGAATGCAGAGGGTGACCAGTTTTAGAAATGATTTCTTAATAATATTTTTTTTTTCTATTTGACATAATAGGTGTATGTGGCCCTTGATCCTCCTTACTGGACTTTGGATCCAGACAAACTTATGAAGTGTTTCACTGCCAGGACAAAAGCTCTAGTTTTGAACAGGTAAAAAGTATGTTCTCGTCCATATTATTTGATTCAACGAGAACTCCAGTCACTTGCTTATGAAGCTCAAAAACAGGTAACTGTAGACCCTCAATAACTACATGTATAATGAGGCTGAAACATTTTTTTAACTATAAGGTTTCGATGGTTCCCCGTTTATTATACTTTATTGTCCCACTTCTAATCTGCCTCTTTAATTCTCAAATAGTTATTACTTTTGTCTTGGTTACAAACTCCACAATTTTGACCACAAACTTGTATGAAAAAGTTCCTAAGTATGGTAGATGTTGAGTTGCTACCCATCGCTCATTTAAAGAGCAGATATTAAACAGGCTAACTATTAAAATGGTATTTAGCTACAGAGAAATTAATACTATGACCCTTTAGCTGCTGTTTGTTTTTAATAACTGACACAATATAGGATAGTTTTATAGATAGTGTCGAAGAATTATTTTTTGTTTAGATGGATGTTATATATTACATCAGTTTAGGGTTTCAAGCACAAATACAAAGTATTGCGCATGGAAAAGGTATATTTTTAAGCTCGACAGTTCATAGAAGTTTCACATTTATTTAGGGCTTAAATCGGCCAGTCCTACATTCTGTCTATATACTACCTCAGCTTCTTAGTGTTGAAGTCAAATATAGCGTCACAGACACAGTGTATAGTCTAGTCCACAATTTGTATCAAAGCAATCAATTAGAAGGTTGGAAGGAGACCATGATAAATGTCATGTTTTGAAAATGAAGAAAATGCAAAACCATGTAGATATTTTCCCTTCTCCATCAGTTTATACTGCATCTGTGATGCAACCATCCAATTAAAGCCTGTGTGGAAATTGATTTGCTTAATCATATTTGTTAGTTTTCCACTATTCCATTTTCTGAAACAGTAATATATTTCTTGCATGGAAATTTAGAAATTAACTGATACAAATTGGCACAGTCCTCACAACCCAACTGGAAAAGTTTTTACCACGGATGAGCTTGAGATTATTGCTGGAGCTTGCCGGGACAGGGATTGCCTAGCTGTAACGGATGAAGTATGAGAACCATTATGCTTATTTTCATAGTATATGAGCAGCATCCCTAGAGTGCCTTACTTATTTAGCATATGGTATCGAAGCTATTCTGCTTGGGTCTTTTGCTGTATTTAGATTATTTGGTTGTTTTAATATCTGCGAGAGAAGATCTATTTACTAATTAAAGAGATGAAATTGAAGTTTTTATGTCAAACCACAATTCTATGGAGACATCACATTTTTTCGGTGCTTTTAACAAACTGACTGGATAACAAGAAGATATTGAGCCATTTATTTATGGTAGTGAGTTGGAATCATATTGGAACAGGTGGAAGTGTGATTGCAGTTGTAACAATGTCGAGGAACCAGTACTAAAAATATTTGAAATATGGTTGGTTAGGTTGCGATTTTTGTTGTCAACTCTTTAGATAACCAGATTATGAGGTAGAGAATAATTGCTGTTTATTTTTTCTTATGACAAAAATGTTTCTGCAGGTGTATGAACATATAACTTTTGACAAGGAAAAACATGTATCACTTGCCTCACTTCCAGAAATGCAGAATCGGACTATCATCACATCTTCCTTGTCAAAAACATTTAGTGTTACAGGTGACCCTTGATTTCCTAACTTCTGCCAATTACTCCAAATGTGCTAATGCTAACCATCTCTTTTTCTTTCCATTATGTTGTTTGAAACAGTATTTCTTATGCTTTTGCTGTCTTCATGTGGCAGATGTTCAATGGCTATCAGTAATACAGAGTTTTTGGTCATAGCTACCTTAGTTATTAGCTTTACTTCTATTCCGTCATTTGTGCTGTCTGTCAGGTTGGAGGATAGGTTGGGCGATTGCTCCGGCTTGTGTTGCATCAGCCATTCGAAACATCCACATTAGAATTACAGATTGTGCTCCTGCACCTTTTCAGGAAGCTGCCTTGACTGCTTTGAGAAGTCCTCCTGAATACTTTCAATTGTTGAGAAGAGTAATATTCTTAAACCAACAGTAGCATATGATAGCATACATTTGAATTTATTCTCATTTCTCAGTTGTTGACTGATAAGTGTTATGCTTCTTAGGATTATGAATCAAAAAGAAATTACATCGTCAAGTTGCTTGCAAGCATTGGTTTCCGGTGTCAGTTTGCGCCTAAGGGGTCATTTTTTGTATTCGCAGAGCTTCCAGAAAGTTGCATCCTCACTGATGTATGTGCCTTTTTCATTTTGTGAGTTTATTATGATTTCAAGAATACCAAGTAATGACCAATCTGGCATATAGTTCTAGCTTCTTAGAGTTTTATTTTTATATTTGTTATTGGGTAATTCACTAGGTTTTGCATCATTGTCTTGTTAATGTTGAAATTCATGTAACTATTGAATTATCAAGACCAAAACAGAGGCTGTCTTTGTAAGATTATTTACAGACTGCCAGTCCAAAACAACATGGACCAACATAGCATGATTATAGTTTTCAGAGAATGTGGAGAAACCCTAGTTTTTAGCCATATGACATCCGTAACGTCCACAAACAATAAAATGAGGTTGGAACAACTTTTTGCAGCCTTAACATCCTGTGAGCTGCATGAGTTGGAGAAGTCGTTTTCGGCAGTGTATATACCTGTTGATGCTTCAATTATCATTTTTTTCAGAACCAAATAACATGGGCCAATCAGAATCTATATATCTAGGTTAGTTATTAAAACGGTATATAGCTTGGTGTCTAATTATTAAGCCAGCCTTCTCAAATTGAATGCAACCTTGCCTGAGTATTTACACAAATAGGATTTTCGATGTAAGATACTTATTCTTTTGTTTCAATTATTGTTGCCGGTGATGCATTGCAGGTCGAATTTGTGGAGGAACTAATTAAACAAGCTGGGGTTGTGGCTGTACCAGGATGTGGTTTTTTTCATTCAGATGCAAAGTCCTCTCAGGCTGCATTTAGGTACCAGAGAAGGTATATCAGATTTGCTTTCTGCAAGAGTGAAGCTACTTTAGCTGCTGCTGCAACAAAAATTGGTGAGATTGTGGATGCTACCGGACGTCTAAAGCTATTTTGATTTGTTGGGAATGCTACTTGTCAAAAGTCGAGGCACTATAAATGGAAACAAAAATGATTTTCATTATATTTACCTTGACATTATAAACAAGAACTCCATCATACGATCGGGTATTATTTTTATCTATGGGAGTGAAGATTGTGGGTTTGTGCATCAATTTATAGTTCATCAAATCGTTCAAATAAAGAGCTGGAGAGAAAAATATATGCTTATATATGTCTACGAACATATGCAAACACCGAGCACACGACAAGAGATTGCAGTTGGTGCAAAAATCTTGTAGTTTTCAAGTCCTGAGAGTTAAGAATGACTATATAGCAGGTTTTAGCTATGCAAGCCTCTTGACATTTTCTTGGACTAGTGCCACTAGACATGCCAATACGCAATCTAAGACTCTGCTGCTATAGAGAAGGTGAAGCCTTTAGTAGTTTAACAGGCTTAAAATCACTTCTACTAATATTAGATTCATATGACGTACATGATTTATAACATCCTTTTAATCCTTTCCCTTGAGCTATATTACAAGGACTCCAAGTCAACAAAACAAAGATCCAATGAATTCGGTCAGAAGAAGATTCGAAGCATAATTAACTAATTTAAAAGATAAAAGAGTATAAATTCTAAAATCTTTCAAATAAGAATTTAAGTTGATTAGTATTTTAAATCAAAATGTTCTCCAAGTCAATTGAGGGGTGGGAAACTGGTAATGATAACTGTTTAGTTCATCCCACGACCGTTCGGGATCGTCTAGCTAGGCTGTCACAACATTATATACGTGTTCCAAGAATACATACTTTAAATAATACACCATTTGCAGCTGAAGTTCTGGTCAGGTGTTCAGAGTATTTTTAATTTTTTTTATACATAGTATACCTGGAAACCCTACTCTCCATTATCCTTTCGTATAAAAATTTCTACTCTCTCTTCGTCGCACCGTTCTGTATCGTAGAGTCTTCGGCATTTATATGGACGAGGTCCGACCGAGTTTCCGGTGCTCCGGCGGCGATCGGAGGCTAGAGATTGTGAGTGGAAAAGGGTTTGCTGGCAATCTGATGTATACAACGAGTCGGCCTCGCTCGCCCGATCTGCCATCGATTCCTCCTTATGTGAGTCGATCGAGTCAGGTCGCGAAGCCCTGGGGATTCAATGACCCAGAGATGAAGAGAAAGAAGCGCATAGCCAAGTATAAGGTTTATACTATTGAAGGCAGGTTTAAAGCTTCGATCAAGAATGGGATTCGTTGGATGAAGAATAAGTGCTCTGCAATCATCCCTGGCTATTAGAGTTCACAAGGAGACCAAGGTAAGAGAAATTTACCTCTTCTTTTAGGGGAAAAAAAACCCTGCAATTCCAGAGAAGCTTTTGTTTTCTTGATAATCCATTTGCAGAACCAACCTGCTTGTTTTGGAAATTTGTAAACTGGATTTCTATGGTTCCTTCGGTAATATTTATGTTTTTCGTTTTTTGTTTTTATTTTGATGTTTGGTAATATATATGTTTTTTATTTGGATATTTAGAAAGAACGAGAAAAGAATACTCGTTCGGTAATTATTTTTATTTTTTATTTTTTGTCGTCACTTTGTAAACGAGGGACAATTTTTAAAAGCAAGAAATTTTTTTTAACTTACTATTTTATTCTTAAAAAAAAATTTAAATACCATATTATTTTTTTATAATTAAATATTTAAATTATAATTATATCTTTATGTAGTTAAATTTCTAAACTGTCCTCTTACATTTTTTTTATTTTTTATTATTTTTATATAAATATCAATATTTATAAAAAAATTTAATTGGCTACGTTCCCCTCGTAAAAATATATGAATCATTATAATTTTCAATAAAATATTCAAAAACTCCATAGGTCATTAATTTTTTCAATGATAAAGATAATATTATGTTTATCTATATAAATTTTTTTTCCATCTATACTACTAATGAAAAATAAAATTTTTGCCTTAGCATGAAATTTTTTTTATTTAGTATTTTGTTCTTATAAAGAATTTTAAATATCATACTATATTTCTGTAGTTAATTATCTATATTACCATCATAAATTTATATGTTTAAAACTCCAAATTATTCGTAACTTCTCTTTTAATTCTCTATTTACTATGCATAAATATCAGTGTCTATTAAACTTTTTAATTAATTACATTACCCTTAAAAAATATATATATAACTATAGTTTTTAATAAATTGTTCAAAAACTTCATTAATGTAATATTACTCATTTTAAATATAAAGATAACATTATACTTATATTTGTGTATTTTTTTCAACCAAAATTTTAACCATTTTATTTTTAAGATAAAAAATAATCTTTTACATAGTGTTTATAAAATAATTTATGTTAAATCAACATAATTTTTCAATCATAATAAATTTTTCATGTTTTATTAAGAGTTTATATAAAAAAAATTATAATATGTTTTCAAGTAAAATTTGAAATTTAAAATTTTAATATTCTTAGAATTAATAACACTTTTAGTCACTGAACTCTGCATATTTTGTCAGTTTGGTCCTCATTGCATCAATTTTATTAATTTTATCTCTAAAATATTTAGTTAATATTTGAATGATCTATATACGGATAGTTTATTAAGTATTGAACAAAAGTGATCACATGTTAGTTACGTGATACTATCTGAATGAATGACACACTTTCGTCAAAAAATTTAATAGACCATGTGATTAGGAACTATTTAAATAAGAATTAAATATTTTATGGATTAAATTGATAAAATTTATATATTGAGGATTAAACTAATAAAAAACGCATATTTTAGAAATTAAAAATATTATTAATTATACATTTTTTTTCTATTGATCTAACTAATTCCTAATTATAGTAAGCATTAATTAGAATATTGACAATTATTTTTTTTTATTCAATAAATTATAAGATGAAACATAATCAAATAAATTTTAAATAAATTATTTTTATCTTTTTTCTTTTATTTAGAATAACGTATTGCTGGGAATATACTATATTTTTTAATTTTATAGTATAATATGAGTAATAAAAATATAATTTTAATAAATTTGAGATGATATTTAATGTAAGTATATATATATATTTAATATTTTATATACAAAGACTATTTATGCGTAATACACGTTCTGCATTGCTAGTATATTATAAAAGTTAAATCTTGATAACGTTTGCAATGTCTTTCTATGGGAAATGTAAATATGAATCATAATAATGAGAAAAACTAGATATTTTAATTTCAAAAAGTGCAATCTAAGAAATTGTAAAGTTCTTTCGTTCCCAAACCCATCATCACACATTGCGGGTTTATGATGCGGTAAACTGAGAAGTATGAGATGGAAGACCTGAAAAGCTCCTCTATTTCCGAAATAGGTAAGATGTGTGAGTATAGCAACAAAAATGAAAAAAACATAAGGATGAATAAGTAGTTCACCATGTTAAAGAGTTAAGTTAGTTTATTTTAAGGGAATTTCTTGAGAAAAAGACAATTATAACTTCTTTGTGCAATGTCATTGCTCAATTGTCTCTATTTTGTTAGGATTTGTATATTCCCTAGCTAACTGTTACGTAACATTCTAGAAGTTGATCACTCTGGGATGAGTTATCCTCCTTGTCCAGGGTGGAATTGGTTGGTGTAATTTCTTTGTTGTCCTTCTTGGGGGTCATCAAGCTGCCTGCCTGGGTGCGTGTGCGTAACTATTGGACTTTTCCCTTCTAGTGGGCCAACTTGCCCTGCATGGGTGCTAATTCTGCAAACTAAAAGAAAAAATAGAGACATTCTCCTTTCTATACCATGTATGTCATTCGGCATAATAAGTCTGGTGGAGTGGAGTTCACCAAAATAACCATTTTCATTCATCACAACAGCAATTAGCAATTAAACTATTACAACGTCCCCAAACGGAAGGAAAAACAGAAACAAAACACAAAATTCAAAGGAAAAGGAAGAGAAGCATATGTAGTAGGTAGTCCCGATTGAAATTTTCATGGTGGATTACAGGTTTGTCTTCTGTCAATGCTAATCCTTCATGAAAAATTATACCAACCTACAAATATACAAAAATTATTATGTAAGTATTAATTAATTCAATAATTAAGACCTTTATTGCCGATAGTACGTACACTATACTCAAATCCTTTGTTCTTTTACTCTCCATTTCATTTTTTTTTGTGGCCGTCTACTTCATTTATCTTTTTCCCCTAAAGTTCTTCCCATGATATCAAGCTTTTCACTTTTATTAATTCACCATCTTGAACCGGAACTTAAAATGATAGGCCATGCATTTTGGCATAATTTGAATATTAGAAAAAAAAAAATTAGAAAAACAGATGGAAATAGAATCCATACTATCTACGTGTATATATATATATATTGCATGCACGTCCAATCATACGTGATTACTGTTGAAGCTTTCCCTATGCACCCATGTGAATGTGACGATTGCCCGAATCCCAGTTTTGAAGCTTCATTTGCTGGTAGAATTGAGCTATGAACTCGTCAGCTTTGGAATCAATCATCTCATCCCCTCTAATAGCATCGAACACCTCGTCAGGGTCATCATCCCCACTCTCTTCATCCTTATCAAGTTCCTGGAGATTGTTTGCCGAAGCATATTGGCTCATGGTGCCACCAGAGGAGGAGGAAGGAGAGGGGGAAGCTGGAGCAATCATATCCTCAAATTGCTCAACGATTGGCGAGGGTGGGCCTTCCATGATTGAAGATGGTGGAGACAGGTGGTCGTGGAGGTGTAAGGGCCGAATTGATCCAACAATTTGCTTCCAATTCCCATTTGAAGCCACCTCTACTTGAACGGGCTTTGGTTTTCCTTTGGATCCACGACGGAGCATTAACAATGCTGCCTTGAGGAGGTTGAATGAGCCTGGTTTCTTCTTCTTGTCTCCATTGATGGTGGGCTTCTTGTTGTCTTCGGCAATGGTGGGGATCGGAATTAAATCTTTGTTGGTAATTGATGAATTCTCTTGCATCATAATGAGAAAATGACTCGCGCTTCTTCGATTGTTGTGATTAATTGCTTAAGCCTATGCACCCTGCAAAATGCAGGGCGTGATACAAGAGAAGGGTTGGAGCGAATTTATGACACTTTCACAAGTTATATAGAAGAGTAATGTTATTCCGATCTAAAAATTGACATGGGCTGAATTATCAAAGTTCCCACAAAGATCTCTAGCTTTACAACTCTATTTTTTAGATGACCGGTATACCCGTGCTAGTTCCTATTAATTCAATGATAATACATTAGATCCCATATTACGTACAAATAATATTTATTAATTCTAAGTAAGCATGCATGTCTGTGAAGTGAACTATAAAAAGAGTCACAAAAGACAGGGCTAAAAAGGGCAATCGACATAATTGTTGTGAATGGGATATCAGAGTGGTAAGAAGATAGAAAATTGGCGGTTGTTGGACGCGAGAGGGAAGACCGACTTTTCAGGCGGAGGACTCGGTTTAGGTGGTGGCTGACGTGAAAAAAAAAAATGGACGACTATCATATGAGTTTGATGTCGCAAATTTCTCGCCATTTATGAAACTCCAAATATGACAGATTTGTTTCGACTAATATTACTTGAATTTAATTTATTAATAAAATTCATTGTACCGATTCAATTAGGAGCGAGTTTAAATGCCAACCACCGTAGGCGGAGCCATGTTAATAAATTTTACGAAATTAAAATTTTAATATTACTAATAGTTTAATGTGTGATTTCTCATTGAAGACAAAAGTTTAGTTACATCATCATCATTTGATCGTCATTAGAGAAAGATGTTGGCTATGTCCCCGCTAATTAGGGGTGTCAAAATATCAATTATATCGTGTTATATCATTTTTATGTTATATTATTTTGGTATTGTGTCATTTTTTATATGTGTTATTTTCTTGTCAATAAAAACTTATTTAATTTTACAATAATTCATATAATATTATTTAAAAAATTATAAATATATATTTTTTGTTTACAGTACTCGTTAAATACCTATTTTCTATTTACAGAATCTATTATTGATTGTGTTAATTGTATCTAACCTTATTTTGACCAATTTATTAGTCATATCAATTAATCACGTATTATTTTTGAGTCTTGTGTCGAGGCAGGATCATGTCGAATTCATATTAATGAATAAAATTGACACTTCTACTGCCAACCACCACTCAAATATGCATTCATCAATGCCAAGAGTACTTGGTACAACATAATATATATCCATTTATACTACTATTAAAAGTATTTTAACTTGAAAATTTTTTAATTCACTATTTTACCTTTTTAAAGAATTGTAAAAGTCACACTATCCTTTCATAGTTAAATATCTAAATTATAATCATATTCTTATATATTTAAATCTTCAAATTATATTTAAAATTTTTTTAATTATTTATTTTCTATGTATAAATATCAATATTTATGAAACTTTTTGATTGATTATATTAATTTTAAATAATAGGTGTATCAATATAATTTTCAATAACTCGATCAATCTAAGATTACTCTTCTCATATGTAAAGATACTATTTTGCCTACATTTGCATTTTCTTTTTTCATCATAAAGTTTAGCCTTGTCATTTTTTAAGATAAAAATTAAGAGCATATATATTTCAAAAAATATATATAAATATAATCATTTTTTTTTAATTCTTTTTTCTTATAGGTGGAACAACAAACCTTGAGAATGTACATAGTTTTCATAATTCTATAATGGAGTATAAGCAGTGAAAAAAAAAATTATTAAACTTAAGATGATATTTAATTTAAATACACATAGACTTAATATATTTTATTAATTTTGTGTATAAAAATTATTCACGTGCAATGCGCTAATTTTCGTAAAGGTGTAGAATTACCCAATTAGTAGAAATTCAAAGAAACATCAGTTGCAAATATGATGTTTGTAACATTGGTTGTGTTGGTTTCTCCTATGCTCATAGTATTGATGCATAGCTATACCCATTGAAAAAAAAAATGCTCGAATCGGTTTGGTAATCTTGGTTGGTTCACTCTGTTCCATCAAATACCTAAGCCATTCGTTATAATACAATCACAAATCGTTTTTTTTTTTTTTTGCATAATCTAACTTGGAAAAAACATGAATGTAAGCATGCATATAGCATTATCGACGAGACTCAGATTATCTAATTTAAAATTGGGTGCTTCAATCATTTGTCCATGTTTCATTTCCCCTCACCAAATTTGCACTTTGACATTAAACTTCTGGAACAGAGCTGGAAGTATCTATGATTGTTTTAATTTTCTTCCTTGTAACTGTAACACTTCTGTCAAGAACTAGAACAAGCTGTCACGTGGGAGCGGCCAGAACCAATATATCAAGTGGCCCACAATATATAAGTTGCATTTCAAATCATTCATACATAGTGACGATAAATTATCATCATACCCCAATGTCATTTATCTGGATTAATTTACGTGTATTTCGACTAATTTTTTTTCATTTTGGTCAAAGTCAAATTATTCATCCACATTAGAATTAAAATATTTATGAGAAAAAAAATCTCTCATAGTCTTGACTCAAAAAATTATTAAAATTTAAATTTAAAATATCTGAATTTATAATTATTCTCAATTGAATTCATTTTGACCATAAAATTAAGACAGTAATAAGGTTGAATTTTATTTATTGGTTAATTTTATCTATGGAGTTACCTGTACAACAAGTCTATCGGAGGGGAAGTGCTTGATATTTGAACTGGAAGTATCTAGTGAATAAGAAGTGGTAAAAACAATGCATGGCGGAGCAGTTTAACCGTCAGCATACAGTGGCTGATAGTTGGCCTAGCAAGAGGAGTGATAGGAGGTGGTGGATTGGAATCTTGATTCATTGTTTTCAGGTTAAAGTGGGTATTGTCTCCGAGTGGTATTCAATTTAGGTTTTATTTATTTACTAGCCTATTTGCTTGAAGTCCCGTACTAATAAAAAATAAAAAATATATTTATATTTATATTTAAAATCAAATCACAAATATATAGAAGAGATAAAAAAATTTAAATATTTTTTTGTAGTAAAAGTGAGAGGTGGTGGGCGGCAATAGTGATGGTAAGAGACGGTGATAGTTGTGGTGGGCGACAGTGGTGATGGTGGTGGCGGTGACGATAGTGGTAGTGATGGTGGCAATGGCGATAGTGTTGATGGTGGCGATAGTGACAGTGGTGGTGGTGGTAGTAGTGTTGGCGGTGGTGGTGGTGGGACGATTTCAAATACTATTTTTTTTAAAGTATCTGTGAGATGTAATTTCTAAAAAATATTTTTAAAAAGTCACTCCAAACTCATCCTTAAGACCCTTATTTTTTTATTAAATTTAGAGTGTTAATAATAGCCGTTAGATTAATTTTAACGTAAAATTTAAAGCGATCTCAACCGCGAATAGTAAAAATTATTTTGTTTATTTTTAAGATTTGAGTTGTAAGTTAGTTTATTATATAAATTTATTTTTTTTCTTCCGGGAACTGGGTATTCAAAGTAGTTAGCTCATGCACCACATTTTCTGCGGTGCTTTCATTGGCCTCAAGCTCAGGTTGTCAATTTGCTCAGTCTTATTAAAATATATATATACTAGAGCAAAGGCTGTAACCTTTTAAGTCTTAATAATATTAATTGCTACAAAAAATACTTTATTGTTGCCAATAATATATAATCAAATGGTTGGTAGAATAAAAAAGACAGATATAAAACAAATGACGAATTACACTTTGCACTCTGAAAGATTTTAAAATTTGTATTTTATACCTTTAAAAATTAAATTTTTTATATTGTATCTTCAATGTATCAAAAATATTGCAACGTGACTATTATGTTAATTTTTCATTAATTTTTTTGTCAATGTTAATCGGTTGACTTTTAACAAAAAAAATAACATAAATTAACAAAAGGGTCACATTCAAACACATGATAAATTTGCAAAAATATAAAATAAAAATCTTAAAATCTATCTCGTAAAAAATAAGAAAAACCCTAAAACAAATGATATTCCAAGTTCCAACAAACACGGCTGGTTGAAAATTTTGGCAATCACATGCCCCTCACCTTAGGATTCTCTTTCAGTGTTCGCTTAAACACGTACGTAAAAGAAATAACATAAGGAAAAAAAAAAAGGACGTTTACTAGGTCAACTGTTCAAAGTCTTTCTCTTTTTATTTATTTATTTATTTATTTTTGTGAGATTTCCTTCTTAGAGCAGATTTTTGTTTTTTTTTATTTTTGGTCTGACTTCTTTGAGAAGATAGAAAATCATGAAAGCAACGTTCCCACAAGAAGACAACCAAACCTGTTTAGTTGGAGGTGCGGGCCCTGCACTTCAATCATTGAACATTTGAATTAATTCAGGAGGACGGAAATGACCTTCTCATACTCTACTACTCTGTATCTACCATCCAATATACATAAATTGTTCAGGGTCGCGCGTAATCCTCAGTGAACTTAAAGAACATGTAACAGAAAAAAATGAAAATCTCTTTTACACCCACTAATCTATTCTTATTGATTTTACTGAGTATTGCTAATGGACTAAATTATTCTAATCCTCTTTCGACAAACCCATTCTAACAAAAAAAAAAGTTAGATTTCAAAAGAGAAAAATAAAAATTTTGAAATCTAATCGTTTTTAACTTATTCTTGCTTGACATTGCACAAAAACATATTTCTGCAATCTTTTTATATATTGACAGCCCTCATAAAGAAAATATGACTTATGCCCTCTAAAAATAGATCAAAACTGGCTATAACTCGTTGGTAGGACTGTCAATTTTCGATACGATACGTTAACATAATATGAATTGAACACAAAATTAATGGGTCAGAACAAAAAATTAAACGAATTAATGGGTTAAAACGGGTCAACAATACGCTTAAACAGAAAAAAAAAAATTATGTCGGGTCCATATTTAAATCAGGTCAACTCAAGTTTGACTTGATTTGTCTATATATTTTAAACGATTTGACATAATTCGGACACGAATCCGACTTAACCCATTGTAGACTCATTTATAATAGTATAGTTTGCAGTATAGTATAGTTTTTGCTATTGGGTTAAAACTTGAATGCATTTTAGCTAATTGCATTGATGAAATGTGATATGTTGTTTGTAAAAAAATTATTTGAACTTTGGATGAATGATTGAATGATGTATTTAATAAATAATGAGCTGGTGTAGAAATATGTTATGTGTGTTAAATATGTCTGTGTTATTTGTGCTAAACAAATTAAACAAATTGTGTTATGTGTGTTAATCCAAAAACGATCTGCTTATTAAACGTGTCAAACGAGTCGGGTTTAGATAATCCGTTTAATAGTTAGGTTATGTTAGTATTTACACATCTTAACACGATTATTAAACATGTCAAGTTTGAATTTTTGAGATTTTCAACACAAACTTGAAATCAACACAACACGAAATGACTTAATCTGAAACGTTTGACACCCCTATTCGTTGTTCTCGTCTTTTTTTGGGTCATTATTACAAAATTTACAGAAAAAAAATTATTAAAATTCAAACCCGCGACCTAGCGTTCCAACAAAAAGCTGCAGATCTATTAGGCTATCGCTCACTTCATTTTTCTCACTACAATATTCGTATTTGTTGGCTGTTACATGTATGTATTTTAGATTCTTTTATTTTGTATGGTTTTGTAATGAATTTCTAACGGTACTCATGGGGCAGGGGTACTTCCGGAAACAAATCAGCTTCAATAGATTTTGATTCCTCCGCGTTACAGCCGTGTCTACAACGAGGTTCCACCGCCAACAGACCACACGCAGTTTGCTTTTCCACACACCCACCTGCCCACATGGCCGCATCCCGCTCTCCTGTTCTTAGCATATACCGCGTACCACCTTTCCTGAATGCATATATAGTCTGTGTCTTCCTTTATCCCTTCAATCTCATCAGTATCTGAACATTTTGAATTGAAAAATAACCTTTCAAAACCCAAACAGTTACTCATCAGATCATTTTTCATCACCTTTCCTGACAGAATCAAAGATGCAAGAGAAGAAATCAGACGTTGCTCGCAGAGCATGGAACATCCTACGTCTAGCCTTGTTATGGGCAAAAAAAGGTGGTGTGTTAAAGAGAAGACTCATGATGGACCTCACCAAGCACCTCAAAAACCTCCGCCACAGTACTCAACGTGGTGCTCTACATTACGGAGAGCGCGAGCTCTCCTTCGATGACACTCCTGTTATCCACGTCAAGATGCATCGTCCCACGTCACTGAGATTCAAGTTGCCTCACATTCCATGCATAAACCCCCAAGTTGATTTTGACTATGATTTTGAGTACAGTGACGATAATGAGGATAGAATTTCTTATGGTGATTTGGCAAGGAAGAGCTTTCTAAAAGGGGTAGATGATGAAGATGACTACCAATGTGAGGCTTGTCATGAGGTGATTCCTTGCGAGGATGAAGGGATTGATCTCAAGGCCGAGGAGTTCATAGCCAAGTTCTACCACCAAATGAAGCTGCAGAGACAGAAATCATATCTTCAGTACAATTGAGATGCTCAATAGATGAGGTGCAAGTTGATCCAAAAGGCTTTCAGGAATCGGTTCTCTTCCTTAATTTTCTTCTATTTTGGGGTCCCTTTTTTGTTTCATAAATATACTTCTTTGTAAAAGAGGCATTGCGGCATTTTGTAAATACCGGAGGCTTCCACTGAGTGGTTACAATTTCAGAATAAGAACTTGAGTTTCTTTCATACATGATCCTCAAGTGAATTTTTAACCAGGGAATAAAAAAACACAGTAATGAAATAATACGAAGTGGGATGGTGTGATAAAATTGGAAATGGAGGCGGATCTTTTAAATAGTGGTTGGTGCACACATTAGTGTCCATATTCCTACACTAATTTTCTGATAAGGACACTAAACTAATACTAACAGGATACAAATATTTTGTGTGAGAACAACCTTGTGTGTCAAACAGCGTGGAAATTCTGGAGCTGTTGTGGTTTTCTCCCAAGGAGAATCAAACCCGTGTGAGGATGAAGAGATAGATCTCGAGTAGGAGGAGTTCATAACCAAGTTTTAAGAGCTCACTACAATGTGATGCTTAATAGATGCTTAATAGAGTTGCAAATTGATTCAAATGCTCTTCCTTGGATTATCAAGGGATTATCAAGGGACATAAGTGTAATATTTCAAATGTGAGGGGTCTAAGTAATTAAATGACAAGTATTAGGAGGTCAAAGTATAATTTATCCATTTAGTATTAGACGGCAAGCTTGAGGTGCACATTGATACAAAATTTTATCTTTGAAAGTAGAAATTGAAGTTTTTTAATCTTTAAAGGTATAAATCAAAATTCGAACAATCTCAGATAACAATTTGAGATTAATCCAAAAAAAAAGAAGGCCCTGAGAACACTTAACATAAAAAGGAAATAATGCCAAATGAGATGGTTTGATAAATTGGCAAATCCTTGATGCACACATTAATGTATATATCCCTGGAAAACAAGTTGTATATCACTTGAGAAATATTAAGATGCAGTGGTTTTCAGATTAAGATACAAAAATGAAAACAGAATACTAAAATTTTGTGTGTGATAGCACAGACATGAGATATGATATAAGAATTAAATCCAAGGACAGAAGTAACCTCACGCTACCATGTCTGAACATATGCAAGAGGGTCAGCCACATACAACCAAAACACAATCCCATTAATCCATAGACTTACTGAAGGAGGTCCTCTCGCTACCTGAAGTACCTTGCAAGAATGATCTAGAAGCACCAAGCCATTGAATATTTGATTGTAGACTCCCATTCTTATGCTTACTATAAGATATGCTTGCAGTTGGCCGTTGCTGCCAGTGCAATAATGTAAATGTTAGGAGAAAATACATATGTTATATGTTGGTATGGGCTTTAAGAAGTCAATTAAAAATCTTCTGGTGTGCAAGTTCAATTTGCTAATCACAAGGAGCTAATTAATATCATTGCCAGGAGAAACAAAACTAACACAATCACAACCCCCCTCCACCACGGCACCACCTCTGCCACGACACCTTTAACAACGAATGATTTTGTAACACATTACATGATCCCTGCGATGTGTTGGCTTGTGTTTGCTAGGTGCGGAGGCGCTTCAGTTCTCGTACTGACTGAGAAAGACAGTTTCCATCCCCTTCCCACACTTATATGAGAAAAGATAGAGAAAAAATGGCTGGAGAAAGTATATTAAGCTGCAGTTATGCCGTACTACAGCATGACAAAGAAAATATCATCACCATCATCGCTTCTCATGGCCTATACATAAATCCCAAAAATAGATTTGTGATACGGCTCTTTTAATACGTCCATGATCAGCATATAAAATGAAAAGACAACACAATGCCAGACAAAAAGACAGAAAAAGATAAAAGGAAAATAATTGAGGAAGCAATTCCCGAAAAAAATGATCAGTTAAACAAATAGACAAATAAAAAATGTTAAGCATTGGGATCCTCGTGTTCTTGCCCCTAATCAATTACCATCACGTTCTTCATCTCGCGCATTTCATGTCTCTCGCGTTGTTCTTGGTCCGCTCTCGATGGCTACTTATGTCCGCCAAGTGTTTGTGTAAATGTCCGAGCGGGAAAAGACAGGTTCAAGAATCAAGACAGGTATGTATGTTCTTCTACTTGGGATTTGTGGGCAATTGGACTACAACCCGATGTCCATATGAGCTCCATAAATCGACTCAAAACAATGACCCAACGTTTTGGGTTATTTTGCTTTGCTTTGGGTGGACTTGGACTATAGCATAGCCCATCCCATACGTGGTCCAATAATTTGATCTCATTTTACCAAATCCAGTTAATTGTTAGTTTTTATCATAATTTTAACTTTACTTTCTAAAATAAAGTTTGTTTTATGAAGGCCTAATTTCCCTTTTTGACAAGATAGAATAAGGTGGTTTGAACTTAGTTTTCTAATGTCAAACTGTTTGTCAAATGCATTTCTAATATTAAATTATACGGATAATCACATTATGTACAGATACTTGAATTTTTAATTTATACCTTAAAAGATCTTAATTCTCAAATTGCACCCGTAAAGCCATAAAAAAGTTATAACATAATGTAGACTCAAACGTTCTTCATTATGATAAGCATCACAAATATAATAATAAATTGTGTTTTTATGCAATAAAAGTGGATGATAGTTTGAGTTCGCATCACATTAATCTCTAATTTTAATTTAGAGATTAATCTTTAATTTTAAGAGTACCTTTTATTGACACCATTTTATACAATAAGATAAAAAAGTAATTCAAATTCAAGATAATCTAAATATTAGTTGAATTATAGAAAACCTCTTTCAAATTATATATATATATATATATATATATATATATATATATATATATATATATATATATATATATATATATATATATAATTGTATGTGCCTAAAGTCACATTGTAATAAAAAATGATAAACAATAAACATATTTGTATTCATATCCAAAATCAATTCAGAAATATAAATAAGAGATAAAAGAATTCAAGCATCAGTTTGTAGTGGGGGTGAGAGGTGGTGGGCGGCAGTAGTAGTGGAAGGAGACGGTAATGGTTGTGGTGGGTGGTAATGACCGTGTTGGCGATGAAGGCTGCAGCGGTGGTGGTGGCGACGATGACGTCGCCGATAGAGATGGTGGCGGTGGTGGCAACGATGACGGCGACGGTGATGATGGCAATGGCGATAGCGACGGTGGTTATGATGGCTGTGGTAGTGTCGGAGGGTGGCGATGGTAATGGTGGCGACGACGACAACAAAGGCAAAGGTGGTGACAATAGTGAAGGCGATGGTGGTGGTGGGGGCGGTGTCAGTGACGACGACGGTGGCGGGTGTGGTGGTGGGGGTGGGGGGTGGTAGCGGTAGTGATGGAATGATTTAAAACACTATTATTTTTTTTAATGTATTTATGAGAAATAATTTGTAAAAATACTTTAAAAAAATCACTTCAAACACACCTTTAGAGTCTTATTTTTCCTATTAAATTTAGAGTGTTAATATTAACTGTAAAATTAACTTTAAAGTAAAATTTAAAGCGATCTCAATCTCGAATAACAAAAATCATTTTGTTTATCTTTTGATATTTGAATTGTAAGTTATTTTATTATTACACTAGTTATTACCTGTGCCTAAAGGCACAGTGGCAGTGGTGGTGGGGGTAGGGCAGTTTCAAATACTATTTTTTTAAAAGTATTTATAAGTAATAATTTATAAAAGTACTTTTAAAAAGTCACTCCAAACACACCCTTAGGAGCCTATTTTTCCTATTAAATTTAGGGTTTTAATTATAATATTAGTCGTTAGATTAATTTTAAAGTAAAATTTAAAGCAATCTCAACCGTAAATAGTAAAAGTCATTTTATTTATCTTTTGAGATTTGAATTGTAAGTTACTTTATTTTATATATATATATATATATATATATATATATATATATATATATATATATATATATATATGTTGTTGTTGCTGTGAATACAAATTTACATATTATTGAATGATTTTTTTAAATTATTATTTTTTGACTTTTTTTTTCATGTGTTTTTGCTTGTAAAAGTGTAGATATTTGCGTTTTGTTTTTTTTTATATTGGATTATGTTATGTTACATTATGTTGTGTTACGTTAAATTGTGTTAGATTTTCATGTGAAACAAAATTTTAATTATATTATGTTGTAAATGACAAATTTTTAATTATATTATGATATTTTATAATTATGTTATATTTATTTAAAATTTTGAATTAAGTTGACTTGAACTTGGACTTAAACTAGTGCGGGTAAGATGGACTGGGGCGGAGCCGAGGCGGGGGCGGGGATTACAAATTTACTCGCAGACGAGGATGAAGATAAAAAATATACTTGTTAACGGAGATGGACCGAGGATAGAGACTACCCCCGGCGCTCCCGCTTCGGTCCACTACCATCCCTACCCAAAAACCACCGATCAAAATGCGATGAGGCAATTTGGTCATCTGGTGTTATTGGCATGTTTCAAATTTGTTGAAGCTTTGAATTTTTGGCGTTGTCACTTCTCCGTAATACTTTTGAGTTTTTGGTCTTTTGGGAATCGATAAAGCTGGGAAAGGAGAAATTTTTTTAAAAAAAATAGTTTTTAGGACATAAATTTTTTTAAAAAAAATTTGAGTATGAAATTGAATTTTTTTCATTAATATTAAATCAAAAATTTTACTCAACTTTAGGTTTAAATTTGGGTGAAACATTGGAGATTGCTTTCCCATGGGAGATGATAAGGTTAGAGAATGTTAAACTCCACCATTTTACTTATGTTCTGTTTGATAGGAATGATAGAAAATAAAAATGATGAAAAGTAGAAATGATACATTTTTTATCTTCCAAGGAAATAAAATAAGAATGATACATTTTTTTTTCTTTGTATTTGGTTGGACTGATAGAAAATAAAAATAATTAAATTTTTTTTGGACTTGGTAAGATGATTATGTATATTATTTTAATTTTAATTTTTAATTTTTTAATT